ATAGTTTCTGGTATCACAGTAACCCTCTAGTCTCCACAATTAAACAAATTGGTAGATAATGGTTAATATACTTTCCCAGTGGTCATCAATTTTTAGTATTGGTGAAGAGGAAAGACTTAATATATTAAATTAATTAGATTCAATTTATTAGGTTTAATGTAAATATACTTAATATTAGGAAATTGTGATTATCCTATTAAATGTTATATTAAATTTTTCCCTTTAGTTGAGTACTATTTTATTTCCATAACTTAATATATAAAATTAGATTCAATATATCAGGTTTAATGTGAGTATTATATTTTGGTATATTCTATTAAATCATTACCCATTTTTGTCAGTGCTATTTTATTTCCTCTGACATTGAGTCAATGCTGACTCCTAACAACCCCCTGGGGGTTTCTGACACTGGCTGTTTATGGGAGTAGAAAGCCCAGTCTTTCTCCCGGGGAGATGCTAGTAGTTTCAAGCTGCTGACCATGCAGGTCACAGCTCAGCACATTAGCCACTACATTTCTTATTTAAAGTTGAAAACCTGTGGGAAAGGAGCATTCAATATGTAGAGTTTACTGATTTAATTAACATTTAATATGTACTGATCCTGGTTCTAAAAACTTTAGTAAGTAGGTGGACTTTAATAGGTGAACCAGATATATGAGGGGTTTGCCCTCCCAAAAATCAGAATTTTTTAAAAGCTATGTATTTAAATTTTTTTACAAAACAACTTTATCACCTTCAGAGTACTCTCCACCACACTTAAACTTTGTCAAATCTGCGATTCCATTGTTGAAAACATTTTTCAAACATCGGTATGGGTGGCTGACAGCACCTCCCTCATTTTTTTCTTCACCTCTTTTATGTCATCAAATCACTGCCCTTTCATGTCCCTCTGCATTCTCGGGAACATGTTACACTGTCTTTTCAGAATCTCTAAGTGGGAAGCTTGATTACCAGTCCAACCTGGTGGAACCAACTCCGATGCACAAGCGTCGACATTTTCATCTGTTTGGAAGTTGTCAGGCATCCAGAATGAGGTTTTCCATCAATTGACATTTCACCTTTTTTGAAACTAGAAAACCACTTTTTTTTTTTTGAAAACCACTTGTACACATGAGTTTTACCCATAGCGCTATCCTTGTAAGCTGTGTTCAACATCACAACAGTTTTCTGCCACATTTTCCAGAGCAGGAAATAAAATTTCACAACCACCCGCTGTTTCCTGAAATCAGCCATCACAAAAACAAGGTTTGAGTGAAACAGCTTTCATGAAAAATTCACTGTGACCAAAGAGTATGTGAACAACTTTCTAGGAATCTTTTCCTATATGTTTTTTAAAACATACATCACTTCTATCCTATTGCAGAGTGTACAAGGGGGTACCCACCAAATCTGGAAAGAGCCTCTGCTGTGTGCTTGCATAGTAGGCATCCGTGAGCATCCAGCAACTCTCTCTGAGTTAGTGCACCCAGTGGCATGGAAAGGTTCTCTTTGGTCGCAGTGAATTTTTTCGTGAAAGCAGTTTCTCTTGAACCTTGTTTTGTGATGGCTGATTTAAGACAAAAGAACGTGGCTGTGAAATTTTTTTTGCCTTGGGAAAAATGCCACAGAAACTTGTGATGTTGAACACAGCTTACAAGGACAGTGCTATGGGAAAAATTCAAGTGTATGAGTGGTTTTCTTGTTTCAAAAAAGGTGAAATGTCGATTGATGACAAACCTTGTTCTGGACGCCCATTAGCTTCCTGAATAGATGAAAATGTTGACAAAATTCATTCATTTTTGCTCGAAGACCAATGATGCACCATTGAAGAGATGGGGAAGTTATCTGGACTATCTTGGAGCTTGGTTCAGTAAGTTGTAATGGAAGATTTGGAAATGAGAAGGTCCGCTGGGAAATTTGTGCCTTGGGTTCTGACTGGCCAGGAACAAAAGCGTTGAGTGGAAACTGTGCCCTGCTTTGAAAGAACAGTTCTAAAGCGAGCCAGACCCCCCCCCCCCTTACACACACACACACACACACACACACACACACACACACACACACACACACACACGCACGCGCGCGCCATTACTAGTGATAAGACATGGTGCTATTCTTTTTACCCCCCTCTTAGTTTTAGGCCAGTCTTAACCGACCCCTTACAATTTAAGTAAAGAATGGAGGTCATGTTGGAAGAATTTGTCTGTGATGAATGATAAAGCTTGTTGCTATATGTTTTAATTTCTGGGAAATGGGCCGGAGGTGAGATAGAGAAGGATTCCAGTATTTTATGAACTAGGGCATGGTGGAGATGCTTATTTCTATGATCTTCCTCATCTCTGTTTGCACACACCCTGTTTTCTGGAATGTGTTAGCCCTACCCTTGAGGGAGATCATGTATAGCACTGTGGTGAAGAGTCTGACGTTGAGCCAGTCGACCTGGATTTATATCCAGTCCACATTATATTAGCTGACTGACTCTGGGCATGTCACTGGAAGTCTCTGTTGTGGCTTTCTTATGCTGCACAGAGTTTTCTCTATTGCACAGGGTCGTCATAAGGAGTAAATGAGGTATGTCTAAAGTACCTCGAAGACCATCCAATAAATACATCCAATAAAAAGCAGTTCCTATTGAGTCACCTCTCACTGTGGCAATTCCTTGCATGTCAGAGTAGAACTCTGCTCCTCTGTAGGGTTTTAGTGGTGGGTATTTTGGGGAGTAGTTCACCATGGCCTTTCATCCAGGGAGCCTCTGGGTGAGTTTGAACCTCCTTCTTTTTACATAGTAGCCGAGCATGCTAACTCTATGTACCATCCAGGGACACCAAATACAAGGCCTAATACTGAGTAAAAATAAGCTGTTGTCATCCATTGGGCAGGTGGTCAGTGTGCTTCATGTCTCTGGTTTGTGTCTATGGTATTACATCCATTTGATTAAATAAAGAATACATTTCAGCTGCCTAACACTACAAAGAAACCCACTGTTAATTGTCTGAATTTAAAAACATTCAAATTTATGATTATCTTGAGTACTAGTACAGTGACCATAAGGACTAATTGTTATTGTTGCTACTTTAATTAATGATGGTTTGCTTTTTGGAAGGAAAGCCTTCATTTTAGAGAGCTTTGCAACTCAAGGAGTTCTCCATGTATCTAGACTAGGTCTTGAAGCCTTTGTAAAATTACTATATTAAGAATTACTCTTCGGGATTTTAACTTCTTATTAATGTTATGTTAGTAGGGTTTTTCTTACTGCCTGTGCAGCATCAACAGTCCCACTCAGCTTTGAGGTCTGGGGTTGGAGATCGAACTCAGATTTCAGCAACAAACTGTGAAGGTCGTATCCATGTAATTAGACACCTGTTGAGGATGTACAGTTATGTTCATAAGTAGCTTTTAAATTTTATTAATAAAAGGCCTTAAGTGATGGCAATACAAAAGTATGGTCTAACCAAATTTCATTCTTCAGTCTAAGGCTGGATCTTTTTAAAGGGATTAAGCCTAAGGGCCTGGGATGAGACATTTCGTGTAGTAATGTACAACAGTGTTAAGGTCTTTGACAGTAAGATTAATGTGAGGTAAGAGAAAGGTTTCCGGGTACTCTATTCATTTTCAGGATTATCCTGAAGTGAGCCATGCTTTAGGGAAATGACTCATGAGGGCCCGGGTACATGGGCTGGCATTTGGGTTGTGGGATATGTGCAGAGGAGCCCTATGGATCCTGTGGGTGGGCACCCGGAGCTCTGTCTTCTCTGCTGTGGCTGCTGGTAGCAAGGTGGATGCTGTTCACCTCCTGTGAGCAGGTGGCCCAAGCCCTGAGGCCGCTGTGGAAGTTGGCAAAGTGTGGGAGGCTGGCACAGCCCTCTTTATATAGTACACAGGAGACACAGTAGTGTGGTTAGAGACCTGGGCATTGTGCCCAGCTCCACAACTCATTCATTGTGAGATCTCAACGATTGTCTCTCAATTTCTTTCAAAGAGTGGAGAATAATAATGCCACCTGCTGACCTCCCTGTATATTCTGAGGACTAATGAGTTAATCACTTTGGATGGAAACCACAGAATCTACCCTGGTCATCATTTTTTTTTTTTTTGGTGCCCTCTCTTCAAGCCAGTTTAGAGGTGGGAGGTTGGCATACAGTAGGGGAATGAAGTTGGTATATTTTAAGACCAACTTTAGATCCGATTTCTTTTCAAGCTGGGAAATTTCAACTAACCTGAAATCTCTACGATTTTTTTAAAGAAATAACACCAAGCCAAATTCTGACCTGAAGTTTGTGGGGAAAGAACAGATGTCTCTTCTGTGAACATATTAATAAGGATGGCAGTTTTAAGGGAAGAAGCTGGGTTAAAAGAGGGTAGATTTAAGTGGAGCATGCTCTTTACTGGTACGTTCTTTCTGAGTGTTGGTTTTTCATCATTTTGTTGACTTCTCATGTTTCTTTGACAGAATCTTTATTGAGATGAAGCCCACGTAGGGGAGGACGCCCCATCCCACCCACACACACACAGACCCCCCACCCCCCACCCTTTCTACCTTTAAGTATCAAGGATGTTGGCCTGGAATTCAAATGGATAGACTGACATTTCTGCTTTGAAAGTTTTTTGGTAAACAAATTTCCACTAAGTGTGGGAATTCCTGGTTTCACTTTTTAAAGGGAGTTTGACCTTTTTCAGTGCTTTGGGGGCCTGGGTGTTGACATTGGGGGGGTGTTCCTGGTTAAAATTTGCGTTCTCTCTCTATTGGCTCTTGGGACTATGGTCACTTTTTCTTTGGATGTGAAATAGCAAATGGTGTAAATTGTGTTGGTATAATTTAGTTTTTGAAGATAAAGTCTTTTGAAAGATAAAGTCGTGGCCATGGTATCCCCCACCTCCCCATATGTTAACTGTTAAAAAGAACACTGTTGTCGTGTGAATTCTTATTTTTTTTTAGTTTGCTTTTGAAGTAACTGTCACAGAGAATTCCTGTTACTTAGATCTTGATGACAGACTTACACCATTTCCTTTTTTTTTCTTAGACGTTCCATCCTCAGAGCAGCCTGAACTGTTCCTAAAGAAACTTCAGCAGTGCTGTGTCATTTTTGACTTCATGGACACGCTATCTGATCTTAAAATGAAAGAATACAAGCGCTCCACTCTTAATGAACTGGTGGACTACATTACAATAAGCAGAGGCTGTTTGACAGAGCAGACTTACCCTGAAGTAGTTAGAATGGTGAGTTTCTTTTTTTCGCCGCGGACACTTTTAAGCACCTTCATAGCGACTTACAGGTGTATTTGTTGCAGAATGAGGTCATTGGAGGTCCCCTCCACAAACCTGCTGAGCCAACCTGCTGAGAGCTAAGCCAAAGTAGTCGGCACAATACTAGAATTTGAAGAGCATGATTTCACGAGAATGAAATCCAGAACATTTCAACTGCAGCCGTGTTGAAGGAATCAGTGACTTCAAAATAGGAGGCCAAGATTGCCAGGGTATTACTGGATTTCTGGCTTTGGGAAATGCAAAAGACAAAGGAGAACCAACCAAAGTTTTAGATCTGTATTTAAAAAATATTCAAACCTATTTGATGTCTGTTTGTTTTTTCCCCTCCCTCTCTATTCATTGTGGTATGATAAAAATGGCATTAAGCTTAATAAAATTGTGATTTGTAGAATCTAGTTAAGGCCTCTCTGGCTTTATAACTAATCCTTTCTATAATCTGTTTGAAATTGGGGATGAGATCTTTTACGGTTTTTGAAGTGCCTTGCACTTTGTGTAGTCATTAGGAGTTAAGAGAAGAAATATTAGCTTAATGCGCATGATTATGTTCTCATTGGGTCAGCAATTATATTCCTTTTTTAAAAAAGGAATTGAGCCACAATATGATCTTCCTGTTAGATTTCTGTGGGATGGTTACCTTCCTTGGCATCATGGAAGGTTTTGGATTTAGAGATTGGATGCTTTTTTGGGAGGTGTGTTCTACTAACTCATGAAATGATAGTCCAGTGGATCATTACATCATTGAGAAGCCTACAAGGCGATTTGGCCCACTATCAGGGTCCTGCTGGATTCCTCCCCTCCTCCCTATTTGTGCTTGGCAAATACAGAAAAGGGACATCTATGATGGGGTAAATATGGAACCTTTAAAAAGCCTCTTGTACGATTAAAAAGGAATCATTCAGATTTGGGAAGAGACCTGCATTATCCACATGTTGAAAAGCTATGACAGATGTGTATTAGTCTGGGTACTTTAGAGAAACAAATCCACATATACTCATGTATAAGAGAGAGTTTTATATAAAGGTTAAGTGCACATCAAGAAAACATCTCAAGAAAACATCCCAACCCAGTGCTGCCCAAACCCACAAGTCCAACATTAGCCCATATGTCCAACACCAATCCACAAAGTCCTCCTCCATCTCACAAAACAGGCAGTGATGCCGACTGTAGGAGGAAAGCTGAATCAGTGAATGTTTAAGCATCTCAGCCCTGGCAGGGTTCTCCACATGGCTGCTCCAACACCCAGGGCTGCATCAGGGTAGGTCCATGTGGCTTCTCCTCAGGGATGTCTTGCAGGAAGTGAGCTTTGCCAGCTGAAGCAGGGAACTGGCTAAGGCAGCTGCACCCTGGTCTGACCATCAGAAAGCAAGAGATCCAAGAACTAGAATGGCGAGGCTCACCGATCCATTTATCCCTCTGGCCTTCAGTTAACCCCACATGTGTTTATCGGCCAGGTTGGCACAATAGACTAACTACTTCAAGATGTATGAAAGGTACTTAAAAACAATATCTGATTCTATTCATCAGACCCACACTCGAGTGTATGTTTCATTTGCTGTTAATATACAGGAATGTTGTGCTAGAGCTTTACAGGTTACCTGTTAACATTATGGCTCTTGAGCAGTGATTCTCAACCAGGCATGAATTTGGTCTTCCAAAGGACATTTGGCAACGCCTAGAGACATTCCCAGAGACCAGGGATATTGCTACACCTTGTGTAATGCACAGGGCAACTCTTCAAAAGGCATCGCTTCTTGACTGTCAGTATCAATTGTGTTGCTGTTGAGAAAACCTGTTCAAGTGTTTGCATGCAGTCTTTTTACCTGATAGTTCAGAATCTCATCTAGTCCATCTGCCTCTATAGAGCATCATCCCTGCGTTTCAGCTTACCTCTGTCCTTAGCCAGTGATAAGTATATTTTCCCCCTTAGAAGCATCCACTATTTATATATTTCTTGTGTTTCCTTCCATGGATAGTAGTGTGTGTGTGTGTGTGTGTGTGTGTGTGTGTATATCTTGTGTTTTCTTAAAAGACACAAATGATGGCATATTTTTACACTGTCTGTACCTTGTTTTTTTACTTACATATATAATGCACATATAGAGCGGCCTCATGCATTTTGATAATGTGTATACACTTTTTCACTGTAGGAATGTACCATCATGATCTAGTTCTTTGTGAATATTTTTAGTATATATAGCAGTTTGCCTTTCTGAAAGAGTATCTGTTAGCCCCTCGTCTTTCTTGGTTTCTGGATCTTCATGTATTTCTTGCTCCTCTGCCTCAAATGCCAATTTTCACTATCCTTCAAGATATAAGTTAAAGTGCCTATCAGCTTTTGAATAGCCTCATTGTTTTCTCTCTGCTGCTTTGTAGCCCACCCCTTTTGGGGTGTGTTCAATGGGGTTTCATCTCCCATATTTGACCTGATTTTTTCAACGAGGCTTTAAGCATTCTTAGGCAGGGACTGTCTCCTTCACATCTCTGTGGGCTCTAGCCCATTGCTACCTATGAGGCTGTTGCACTACAAATTGTTGAATGAGTAAATGAACTCCCTCTTAAAATATTGGCTCACAAATTAACTTTAAAATGTTGATGCCATTGGACTATTATTTAGTCTTTAAATCCAGTATTTAGCATAATACAAAAAATCTGTTATTCTTATAAAACAACTTCTCTGGAAGGAGACCCCCCTTTTTTCCTCTCATAAGTCTTACCCCAACAAAGATTATTATCATTTATATGTGAAGATATTTTAGAATATATTTGAGCCCCCTAACATAGGAGCTGTTGACTAAGGAGTGCCTGCTGTTGCCTAGGTTGTAGGAAATTTACTTTCTAGATGGTAGTTAAGTTTGCAGAGGTACTATTCATTTTTCATTTTACATAGGATTTAGAATCTGGAAGAACTTAGAGGAGGAGGGAGTATGATAGAATAGAAAGAGAAAGGACTTTAGAATTCAACAGACTGGTGACGTATTTGTTCCATCATTTTGGGCAGGATTATAAGAGATCTATAGGGTCTGGGGACAGGTGGCCATAGTCTCTCCCACCTCCCTCCATAAATATTCCATCTAAATAAAATTATTGTGCTTGTTTTTCTGACCAAAGTTCTAGCTAGTGCAAACACACATGTAATCTAGTAAGCTGTGCCTCTGCTATGAAAGAAGAATTCTAAACAGGTCCTCCCTTGGTGCCTCTTTTTTAAAATTTTTATTTATTTATTTTAATTTTTTCCCCTCTTTTTTAACATTTTATTAGGGGCTCATACAACTGTTATCCCAATCCATACACACATCAATTGTGTAAAGCGCATTTGTACATCGTTTCTCAAAACATTTTCTCTCCATTTAAACCCCCGACATTAGGTCCTCAATTTTCCCCTCCCTCCCCGCTCCCCCCTCCCGCATGAGCCCTTGATAGTTTATAAATGGGTCTTTTGTCATATCTTGCCCTGTCCGACGTCTCCCTTCATCCACTTTTCGGTTGTCTGTCCCCCAGGGAGGAGGTCACACACAGTTCCATGTAATCGGTTCCCTCTTTCCTACCATTCTCCCTTTACCCTCCCTGTTTTGCCACTCACACCACTGGTCCAATAGGACTCATCCGTCCTGGATTCCCTGTATTTTCAGTTCCTATCTGTACCAGTGTACCTCCTCTGGTCTAGCCAGTCTTGCAAGATAGAATTCGAGTCATGGTAGTGGGAGCGGCCTTGGTGCCTCTTTCTCCCTCCATATTTTCACTTCTTAGCAGCCTTGGTGGCGTGGTTGTTTATATGTTGGGCTGCTAACTACAAGGCCCACAGTTCAAAGCTGTCAGCCACTCTTTGAGAGAAAGATGAGGCTTTCTAGTCCATAAAGAGTCCAAGGGCAGTTTCCTCTAGGGCAGCTCTCCTCTGTCCTGTAGGGTCACTGTGAGTCCAAATGGACTTACTGGTAGGGAGTTTGGTTTCTCACGAAGCTCTTTGCATATAGAAATTCTAGAATTTTTTCCTCACTTTCCTCAGATATACAATACTTGTAAGGATTTTGTGAGGATTGGGGAAGATGTATATATTATATTTAGAACAATCCCTAGCCATGGCAAATTATTAAGCACTAAATAAGTAGTAGTGTTTAGTTTTGAGGATATTGTTATAAGATACGTGATGCCACAATGTTCGGTAGAAGCAACAGTGCCTGGTTGTGAGCCCTAAATATCCTTTCAGCTGGATCCTGCCACTCAGAGGCTCTCCTATCAAGACGGTCCTGCCTGTTGCGGACTCATCGCTATCCTTGCTTGCTCTCTCTTCTTGTCACTGTAAAACAGATTACTGAGAGAGATGGTAGTATGTCTGATGAAATATCAGTGAAGTGATTGCTGGCTTTTACAAACCTGGGAGCATTATGATTTACAATGTACTTAGGATGGCATGCTATGGCCTTAGCATTATTAACAAAGCCTTTGCTTTGGTATACATGAAACGTATACTTTGACACTTCTTACACCTGTTTGAGGAAGAAAAGAGTGCTAGATGAAAGTAATTTATGAGTTATATATCATTTTTAACATTAAAATGAAATTTGGCTACCATTTAGAGGCTCCTGGGATTAAGAAAGAAGAACAGCTCTATCTTTATTTGTAAACACACTAAACCAAATGAAAGACTATAGCATCTAATTTCTTCATCGCAGGGCTCGTATTGGGGAGTGAGTAGTCGTAGACATTGAAAGTAGGAGCCATTGTATTCACCTTCAGTCTTCGGCTTAGCTACTGATTGGATCTGGGATAATTCATTTCCCCCTTTAGCCCCAATTTTTGTAAACGGAGGCAGTTGTTACATTGTTCCAGCTTTGAAAAATACCAGCTGTTTTGATGAACACTTTCTAAGGACTTTAGAATGGATTCATCCTACCATTAAAGTTGATCAGCCCATTGTCCAAAATGGTTGTCAAGGTGTCGGTGGTTTGTTGCAT